AAATGCAGACCTTATGTATTTGAGCCAAGTTTAGATAATATAATCAAAATACAACTGATACAAGTATGTACTACCAGAAATTGTAGTTTTATTTGAATAATATAGTTACAGTGACATTAAAATAATAGTAACTATAATTAATAAACAATATAGTTACATGTATAATCTACTACTGTCTCAAGGCAACACAGATAACAGAAGCAACCTTTCTGAAAATTTTTGTACTTGGATTTTCTCTTCCTCCAGGTAGGAACATTGTGGCATTACTAGGCAATGTGTAAAGCCAGAGTTCTTGGGATCAATTTGGGGTCCACCAGTGATTTGGAGACAATATTGACAAAATATTTGGAACACTTTTATAAAGACTATAGCTATATTTAATTACAGAAAGTGGTATTTGTTTCATTCTTCAAAAATACTGATTTTTTTTCAGTTTGAATGGCAAGCTAAATGGTATATTATTTTTTTATTATAAAAACCGAGTCATTTCCACATTTAATATGTATTCAGAGTCATACGAGATATTTGTTTAAAATGTAGCTTCTTGGCTTGGTTTCATCTGCAGAGATGAAAGGTGTGGCCCGGGGCTCCACATGTTACTAAACTCCAGAGGTAACTCTGAAGCAGATAGTACACAGGCCTTTGCCCAGGCGTTCACAAAATAGTAGTACAAGAGTTGGGGCTGCTTCCTAAAATCCCCTATGAGGCAGCCTGAGAGAAACCATTCACTCTTTTCCTGTTCTTCTACTCCTTGCAGGAGCTGGTCTGCCTCATCCACACGGCTATGGACAGTTAACTCTTTACAGTGATTCAGATCTCCCGCTGGCAGAGATTTAGGTCTATCCTTCTTTGGCTCTTTAACTTCCCCTCTTTTTCCAATCTTCTGTTTACCTCCTAATCACACTTCCTATTTCCTAATCAGACTGTGGGGAAATTTATACTTTCCTAAGAGGAGCTATCCAGTCTTTGTAGATTTTGTTTCAAAAGACTTTTCCTATGCTGCTATATAGTCTTCATACTTGAGTAAAAGAAGGAATGAAGGTTGTCATTTTATCAATAAAGTCTAAGTGTGCAACAATGACATTTAAAAATTAATGCAGCATGTGAACGCCATAGTAACTATTGCTTTAGACATCAATGCATACACAAAAGTGATGGACAAAACTTTGAGAAACAGGATATTTGCATAAACTCAAAGTATTTTCCACAAGAGATCATTTACAAAAGGAAAAATAGTAGCTTTGCTGTGGAGAAACCTTGTAGGCACCACATTAATCAAGTGATCAAATCGAAATTGTTAGACTTTCTACAAAACACCTGACCAGATTCTTCAGAAATATCAAGGTCATAAAAGACAAAGACTGAGGAGCTGTTACAGGTTAGAGGAGACTGAAGAGCCATGAAAATTAAATGCTACATGGGATCCAAGACTGGACCCTAGCACAGAAAAGGAACATTAGTGGGAAAAGACAAATTCTGTAGATTAGTTAATAGCAGTCACTTCAACTACTAGTTGCTAGTGTTGTAACATTGCTAAGTTACTACTTTTGATGATTTACTGTGTTTAAGATGTTGACATGAACAAGAAGAGCTAGGTGATATATGGGAAGCCACTCCAAATTTTTTGCCCCTTTTCTGTAAGTCTTCAAGTTATTTTGCATGAAAAAGTTGAATAAAGTACATTTGTTTAGTAACGTGTTCACATGGCTTAGTATTCAGGAATACTCCATTAGCCAACCTCTTGAGCATGTATCCACCCTAAACACACTTTCATGGTGTAGTCACACTAAATCATTTGTTAATTAGCCCTTCATGGGCAAGGGCGGGTAACACAATTTTTGTATGTATTATGAACTATTTAAAATCAGTGTAATAGCTAGCTGCATGTTCATACCTCATTTTAAGGAATATATGTAGAAATGCAGTAAATCTCCCCTGTGTTCCTTTCCTTTGTGGTGTTCTGCCCCTTTTATCCTCTTTACTATCACAACAAAACTGGTGCCACTTGTATACAAACAGTGGAATTTGTTGCTTATTATTTTGCACCTTTCCAAACTTGAAATAAATTGCATCTGACCATATATTTTCAGCTGTTTTTATTATTCCATATATATGTGTATCAGCTGGATTCTTTTTCTCTACTGTGTCGGTTTCCACTGTATGAACACTAAGTACTTATCTATTCTCCCAGTGAAACATATGTTGAGGGTTTTTTTCATTTTGAATGAAAACTTTTCATTTTTAGAAGCATTTTCTGAAGTCAGAGGTCTTTGTTCTTTCTGAACTTCCATGACAGCATCCATAATTTTTAACTTGGTACTTGTGGTCTTATTTTTATTTCTCTCATATCAAATGGAAGACTTCCTGAAGGCCTGATTTCCCAAAATGGACATTATTGGATAATAAAGATCTAATTGTGGTGAATGAAGAAGTAAATACTTAAATGAACTAAACAGTAGCTAGTTGCATGTCTAGATTGTATTTGTGTTTATTCTTTTAGTGTTTATATGGTGTTGCCTCCTGAGAATTTTGTTGTTGTTGTTGTTACAGAGATTTATGCAATGTGGTAAACTGGTCACTGAGGTGTAAGTCTCAAATCTAAATAAAGCATAGAACTTAAATTTGATATTACATGCTAAATTTGTAGGCAGCATGCCTCCTGGGAAATTTTGTTATGATTAGTCATGATTTTACCTGCATTTGGTATTACAAAGAAGAGGGGTGCTCACAAATTTATATTATGGCAGAACTCTTGTTTTTATGCATCATTCTTTTTAGAAAACTTTATATTTACTTCTGATCATTGAGAATTTGTACCCACAGTGCAATTCCCAAGTTAGTCATTTTCCTTCCAGTTATTTTATTTGGATGTTGATCTTACTCTGCAAAAATACTAGGTTGATTCCTACCACAGCTTGGGTAGAGATTAGTAGGAGTAGGTTAAGAACACTGGAAAGGAATCTGGGGGAGTTTGAACTACTTACTGAGGATCACAGAACAGAACCAGAAACCAGATCTTTCGGCCCAGTCCTGTCCAGATGTTACACTTTCAGTGCTTAAAATAAGTGAAGGTATTAATCAAGATGTTATTGTTTTGCCAGCATCTTAATAGATAATTCAGTAATGTATTGTCCACTTAGGAGTAAATCACGGTAATTTGGGAGTTCTCATCATTGTTAGTGTAAGATTAGTAATTGCCTCTTTTGCTGCCCTCTTTATGAGAAAGGTTCAAAGAAAAGCTTAGCCAAACATTAAGGAAGCACATGTCATGGCTGGTGTGTATTTAGAAAGGAAGACAATCTTGTAAGTAAAGCTGATAGGGAGGTGTGACATAACTAAAAGTAAAACTATCTGAGAAGACAAATGGCTTTTTTTGTTGTTGTTTTTTTTGGTACCAGGGATTGAACTCGGGTCCTTGCGCTTGCGCAGCAGGCAGCGAAACCACTGAGCTAAATCCCGGGCCTGACAAATGGCTTTTTGATCGCCTTAGACTTACAAATGAATTAAAACCTCTCAGCATATAGACTGGGGCAGTTGATCACTCAAATTGCAATTCTTAAAAATGCAGAAGCAGTACACTTAGAATATTGTCTTTGTGTCAGAAATGCACCTTTGTGCTTGAAAATGATAAAAAATTACAATCGATCCCCACAGCTGTTCTGTTCATCTTTATTGATCAGTTGCAAGAAAGATAAATCGTAGCCCAAATAAGATTATAGTAAATGTTAGCATCGTAGGGAACTACAGGTTGATAGAAAGCCATTCATCATCTCAAATGGTGACCTGTCCATGGCTCTAGCCACCCTGACTCTGCTGTCTAATCACATACCTATTGATTTTATCTACATTCTAGAAACCTGGATGTGACTGTCATTTGGGCAGCTCAGATTGTGAAATGCAAAGGAGTGGCTGATTTGAAGAGAATTTCATTTTCATTTTCTCATCAACCAATAATGATTTATTAGAAAATAAACTGCCCCAAGTCATGCTTGTGAAACCTGAGTGACTAGGGAACAAAGGCAACCAATAGACCGCTGTATTGTGTAGTGGTCTTTTGTACTGCCATGTATTTTGCAGGATATTTCATTGAGTGTGAAAGCTCGTGTGTTCATATAGGTCATCCATATAGTACGACTGGGTTCAAGGTAGTAAGTCAGAATAAATAAGTTTTAATTTTGCTGCCCTAAGAAAGGTATAATTTTGTCATTCCAACTTGGATTATGTTACTTATATGTTCATGTAGTAGTATAAACATTTTTTGTATTAAAATTATCAAAGTTTGTCACTTTGTTCTTACTGATTAATTTATTGTAAATTTTGATGCTCTTTGGGTTTTGTGGAGGTGATAGAACAAGTTCTATTCCATACAGGAACTTGAGAATAAACATATTATGTAAAAGAAATAAGCCTTTAATATCCATGTTGGAACACTGATCTACTAGGCAAATGTCAATTCATGTGAATTTCATTGCTAGATCTCAAGCACTCCAGTCGTAGATTACAGATACCACAGGTCTAAGTAAAAAGTTTGGAATTTTCTTAGAAGGACCAAATGATGAATTATAACTATGAAAATTTACTCTGTAATTATGATATATCTGCAATGGTGCTGTTATTTAAATGAATAATCTTGCATGTATTTCATGTCACTTTTGCAAGAAAAATTCCTACTGTGTGAGTGACAGAAAATATATATATATATATATATTTTTTTGTATATCCTTTTATTGGTACATTTTAGGTGTACAATATAATGACATTCATCATTGGAGATATGCACCTTTACATACTCTCTTGGTTCTTATTTTTTCCCTCTTCCCCTGACCTCCCTTCAATCCCTCCATCCCTCCCTATTTACAAAGACTTTGTTTCCTTTTTTTCATTTTCTCATATTAATTCCATTCCCTTCTTTGGCGGGGGATATATATTTTTGAAATTGCAATTTTTCCACACCTTTTATCTTCTTGGGTACTGAACACTTTATCAATCTTTATCCACAGAGTTCAGAGTTCTACAAAGTTACCACTGAGCAATATCAGAAAGCTGCTGAAGAAGTAGAAGCGAAGTTCAAGTAAGTTTTTAGTACGGTTATAATTAGACTGTCCTTACCCAAATGAAAGCCCAGTTTTGTTGCTTTCTGAAGATAGATGTGTTATGTGGCACTCTGGAATATTTGGATGTGTTTTGGAGTGGCTGAGATACGACCATATTATCTGCTGTTCTGCAATTCAAATAAAACAAAGCATTTGATGAAAGCTTACTGCAACTCAGTCTGTTTTTTGAACTAAGGGAAAATTGAAAGCAATAGTAATAGATTTTCATTTGGAATAATATATAAGGTAGAGTGCCCTTGATTATGAAGGTGATGTTAAATTGCTACCTCTATTAATGGAAACTATTCACTTTTGTATAATGAAATGATGGGCTTGTCCAAATTTGGATATCTACCTTGTGTTTAAACTATTTTTGTTTCTTCACATGTGCCTTGAAAGCATTTAAATCATAGACTTTACCTTGCCCTTGATTATGAAAGTGATGTTAAATTGCTACCTCTATTAATCCTTGGGATGTTTAAATGAATGTTCTGTAATTGGTGGATCAAAGTGTCCATGACTCATAGCCTTTCATGTTCTCTTTACTACCACTTCTCATATTAGGTAAGAAGACATCATTCAGAATTTTCCCAAGAATATAAATGATTTCATTGTATAATCCTTGTTAGTACCACATGTGCAAATTAGTTCAGCCAAAAAAAACCCAGGTTGTTGTGACGGGTTTATTTGAAAGATTGCTTTAGGCTCTGACCTCTTTCCTTGTACATGTTTATAAGCATTTGATAAAATGATTAAACTCTAAGGTAGAGTTATTAGTTTTTGCTACAGTGAAATTTGTGTGGTAATGGATATTAGTGTTAGTTTAATGTTGATTAAAATAAAATTTTTATAAAGGTGGTTTGAATTCTATTTAAATAGATGAAAATCATCAGGCTTTCTTAAATTATCACTTAGATGGAGTGGAGAGAGATTCTCTAAGAATGGGTCACAGATCTCCCTCTTAAAAGTTAATGTGAGAGCTTGGGCCAGGGATTTAGCTCAGTGGTTCCACTGCCTGCCTTGCAAGCGCAAGGGACTGAGTTTGATCCCTGGTACCAAAAAAAAAGTTAATGAGAGATCTCAAGAATTTAAAGAATTGATTAAACATAGAATATTAAAACGTACCCTCAATGTATAAGTATTTTAAGGTGTATCTTTTTTTCCCTATAAACGTTTTTGTCTGTGTAGTATGAAAAACTTTGAGTTGGTATCATATCTTCATTATAAGATGATAACTATGAAAATAAGTATAATTTAAGATAAATCAGAGATCACTTTAAACTCTAAGAGTCTATGCAGTTTTTATAAAGACAGTGCTATTTGGTTGAGGCTTAAAAGGATATTGAATAGGTTGAAGGGAAAGATACTTAGGAGAAAAATCATGCTCTCTAGTTAGATGATAACTTTAGTGAAGATCAGTGGTGTGACTCTGGGAGATTATTGCAGGATAAAAGTAGGAAAGGTCCGTAGGGTAATTAGGTGGTGGACTGGGAAGTTGATCTTAAGGTAACAGGATGTTAATAGACAATATTTGATCAGCTGAGCACTCTAATCTCTGTGCTCCTGTAGCAATAGTAATCTGACAGTAGATGTGAGATTTGGTTGGAAACATGAGAAATAACCAGAAGTACAAGATGGGAGGTCCCCTCAAGTGAAAAAGAAAAAAGGTTAGTGCAAAATAGTCATTGAAAGATTGACGATTGATTGATGTATTTGTTTGCCAGGGCTGCATAGTACCATATTCTGGGTGACTTAAATAACATTTATTTTCTTACAGTTCTGGAGGCTAGAAGTCTGAGACCCAGGAGTTGTCAGGGTTGGATTCTTGTGAGGCCTCTCTCTATGGCCTGTAGATGGCTGTCTTTTACCCTGTGTGTCTTGGCTCTGTGCATTCCTGTGTCCTAATCTTAAAAAATAATAAAACGATACCAGTCTCATAATGGGTTAGAACCCACCTTAATGACCTCATTTTAACTTAATTACCTTTTTAAAAAGACTCTCCAAATCCAGTCATATTTTGAGGTACTGGGCATCAGCACATAAATGAGCGAGGTGGAGGGGGCTCTTTTCAACCCATAGTGTTTAGATAGAAGGGGGAAAAGAACCAAAACTGTGAGTTTAGGAGATTGAAAAATTGATGAAAGCTGAATTTTATAGATAAACAAGTCTGGTGTTAGATGAGAAAAATCTCCCTGGAAGCCTTACCAAGTTGTCATATCACTGGAGAGCAATAGACTTTGTAGAGCACACACACAAAAAAAGTGTTAACCTTCTATAAGACAACATGGATCTGTAGGTTAGACTTTGTCTCGTACACAATCTCAGCAGCATCATTCTCTGTATCTCTTAGGATAATATTCTCTGTGTGATTCTATTTTCATATGGCCAAAATGTGTAGTAAGGATTTGGCCTTACCCAAGAAAAGTCTGAACTTTGTATGAGGCCACTGCAACGGAACCTCTGAGCCCTTAGAATTGCTTCAATGATAGAAATTGTTATTCATGGTGGGCCCCTTAGCCAGTGTGGTTATCAGTGGGGCATGGGACAGGAGTGTTGGAGACTGATTGACTCATGGGCAATCAGTCAGTAGAATTGTATAATGCAGCTTCAATAACACCAAACTCTAAAACACTGGTAATTGCCCCTGGTTGATAATACTCTGTGTATATTATCACACATCAATACCAGGAGGGTAATTGGTCCTGGGGACAAAAGGACCCTTTGCAGTTGAAACTCCCCCAGACTGTACATTTTTTTCTTTTGCCTGATTTTATGCCATTTCCCTCTTTGAAAACAGTGGAGTTAATAGCTCTCAATGTGTCCTATCAGACATTGTAGCATAGTATTGAACCTTACAGTGGTTTGTGAACCCTCCTACACTTGATGTTGATGTCAAAAGTGAGGATAGTCCCAGAGACTGTGCCCTTAGATGTTGACATGTTATGTGACTGACTACAATACAAAAAAACTGATTTCACACACTGTGAAGGAATTCTAAGAATTAGTGTTTTGGGCTGGGGATATAGGTCACTGATAGAGTGGCTTGCCTAACATGTACAAGGTCCTGGGTTCCATCTTCAGCACCACAAAGGGGAGGGGGGAAACAAGAGAGGGAGTATTTTAGAGGGTAGCTACTTTATACCTGTATGTCCCTTTTCCCCCAGCTGCTGCCTACTAAACTTCTTAGAACATCATATTTTGATTTGCAATGAGCTTGTTAGCTTCATACCTAGAAAGTGATGGGATGTTGGCTATAAGGGATTCCCACCACCTTTGAAAGCACAGAGATCACTTGGTAGACCTATTTCTCCTTAGAAATTTGACCAGCTCACGTGATCTTGTAAAGCAGTATGCTATATTTTTTCTATTGCATTACAAAGCTGTATTACCTGGCCCAATTATTTTCATGATTTCTTATCTGCACAAGCAGATTTGCACCTGCAAGCTTCACCTTGAAGCTTCTGACCATCTTGAACCTTCACTCAGCCATCCCTCTTAGGCAACAAACTCTGAAGGACTTTGAAGAGGATTTAGTTAATTTTATCTGTAGTAGGGTTCATTTGGATGCATATTGGCTACAGAAGATGGAAACTTTTTAAACTCTAATTTCAAGAGCAATATTATATACCTGATAAAAGGTCACACACTTGAAATTATACTACAAAGATACTGTGATAAAAATAGCATGATACTGGCAAAGAAACAGACATGAGGATCAGTGGAATAGATTAGAAGATGCAGAAACAACTTTAGACATACTCAGCCACCTCATTTTTGACAAAGGAGCCAACCACCCTCATTGGAGGAAAGATAGCCTATTTAATAAATGGTGTTGGAAATACTGGATTTCAACCTGCCAGAGATTAAAACTAGACCCATACCTGTCACCATGCATTAAACTAATATTAAAGTGGATTAAAGATCTAAATATTAAGACAGAAACACTAAACTTGCTGGAAGATAAGTTAGGTAGAACTCTTGAAGACATTGTCATAGGAAAAGACTTTATGAACAAAACCTCAGTAGCATGGGAACTAGCACAAAGCATCAACAACTGGGATCTCATCTTACTAAAAAGCTTCTGCACTGCAAGAGAAACCACCAACAGAGCTAACAGACAACCTGCCATGTGGGAAAAAATTTTTAGCAGCTGTACCTCAGACAAGGGGCTACTATCTAGAATATATAAAGAACTGAAAAAAATCAGACCCTCCGAAATTCAAAGACCCAACTCAAAAATGGGCATCTGAAATGAACAGACATTTCTCAGACGAAGTCAAAGCAGCAAATAAATATATGAAAACTGTTCAACATCACTGGTCATTCAAGAGATGCAGATGAAAACAATGCTGAGATTCCACCTCACCCCAGAAAGAATGGCTGCTATCAAGAAATCAACCAATAACAAATGTTGGTGGGGTTGTGGAGAGAAAGGAACCCTTCTCCATTGGTGGGAGTGCAGACTGGCGCAACCACTGTGGAAATCAGTATGGAGATACCTCAAAGAAATAGGACTGGAAGTCCCATTTGACCCAGCTATTCCCCTGCTGGGTATCTTCCTCAAAGAATTAAAAGAATCATACCACAGTGATATATGTGCATCCATGTTTATAGTGGCACAGTTTGTGATAGCTAAAGCTTGGAAACAGCTCAAATGCCCATCAGTTGGAAGCTGGATAAAGAAGATGTGGTTTTCTTATAAAATGGAGTACTACTCAGCCATAAAGAATGAGAAACTAAAGACATGTATAGCTCAATGGATGTACATTGAGGTGATACTCTTAAGTGAAATAAATAGGACACACATGTGTAAATACTGAGTAGTTTCTCTGGTGTGAAAAACTGAAAGTGTAAATAAGGATTAAAATGATTAAAATGAATAATTGATAATTTGAAATAGGAAAAGGTCCAAAGGTGTAGGGGTGGTGGGAGGGGAAGGGGAAAGGAAAGAAGGAAAGGAAAAATTATGAGAAAAGGA